CCACATTTATTCTACTGAAGACGCCCAGTCTGGAAAAGCACTTCCACCATACGGTTAAACGCTGAAATCTGAGAGTGAAACCACTGCGGTTTTAAACCCAAAATGGGGAAAAGAGCGGGAGAACTGAATACGTTTAGAAAATGTGTGAATACCTAAAATCGGCTCCAAGAGAGGCGGCGACAGCGTTCAGCTCACTCTGCACTTGGCTCAGCTTCTTCCCCACACAGATCACGACACCCGTCAGGGGTCCACTTTCTCTTTGCGGTACCTTTCATACAGAAATGGGAATTTGCTGATTCGAACATAGTCAATGCCGTACAATACACAGCGTTTGTCTGCTAAGTAAAGTTTTACATTCATTAATTTTATTACTGTTTCCATTACTAATAACTGGTGGAAGTGAATTAGCTCTGGGACAAAGTGGTGGTTTACCTCCCTCTCAGGCGGCTTCGTGAGCTGGGGGCTGGCAGAGACTGCTTCCAGATCTGAGGCGCTGCCGCGCGAGCTGTTGGCCAGAGCCACCTTCAGGTTCCTGTTGACAACGTCGGTGAGAGGAGTCTCCACCCTCCCTCCCGGCTTCCCCCCTGGAGTTTCCAAAGCTCCGAGCGCATCCTTTAATAAACAACAGAACAAAATAAAGCAGAATGACAACACTTCCTGGGGAAATGCTGACTAATTTCTTTTGTTACTTTTTGTTTGTTATATTGAAGTAAACCTCCCAACCTTGACATTAAAGGATGGCCCGAAGAGTTGGTCTCGGCTGAGAAAGCGAGAGGGCGTGTCCAGCTGCAGGGAGGGCTCCTTCTGAAGCGCGACCCTCCTGCCACTCGCTGGCTTTTGACTGGGGGTGTTCAGTTCCGCTTTAGGCTTCATCTCATCCAACACCGAGCGGAACACTTTGCTCTGAAAGCGACCCAAGTCCAGCGGTGTGACGGCTTTCCCACTTTGTGGGCCCAGCAAAGGGATTTCGGGAGAATGCGCGGGTGGACGCTGAGCCGGTTTTTGGGAACCACCAATGAAGCTCTCTTCATCTCTCTCTGTTGAGACAAAAAAGGAGAAACGGTCTATCATCCCCTTTATCCATAACATCAGGCAGTTATACTTGGGTAAAATTTCTATCTCACGTGAAAAGGATTTAAAAGTTTTCCCTCAATAATATTTCCTTAAAATTCTGACATGCTTAATAATCAAAACACAATTTCCCAAACACAGATCTCGTCTGTCCTGGGAGTGTCTAACCTGGTGACACAGGCAGGTCCACCAGATACCGCTCCTCTTGAGCTCTTTGGCCTGTTCGAGCAGATTCAAGAATCCAGTGCATGGTAACAGCCGGAAGCCCCCATTTCTTTGCTGCCTGGTACTTTGTGCCCTCAGGACTCTGTAAAACTAGATGAGTGCTGGCCAGCATGCCTTTCTTCTGGTTGGCCAGGCGCACAAAGTAGTCCTGCACACTGCAGCAAGAACAAGGAAGCCATTAGCACGCAGCATGATGCACGAGTGGAAAAACTGTAGGCCGTCGTCATACTTGGCTCCGATGTGCTTAGCTAGCTCCACCAAAGACTCCCTCTCTGCTCCAGTGAACTGACTGACTGAGAGAACACAGTCTTTAAGAGGGAAATGGCCCTCTCTCACAGGAACAGGGGTGAATAAAGGGTTAGAGTTCAACTGAAGAACACACTCCTTCTCCACACACATGGCCTGAAAAAAGCAAAAACGATCCAAATCAAACCTCTTTATTCGCAATTGTCCCTCACCAGACACAGAGGGAACAAAATGGGTTTCGTGTTCTTACCAGCCAGGTGTCTGTGACCACCTCATCCACTGTGGCTTCGACGGAGCAGCCCAGCAGAGGCACCACTGCGTAGTGGGCCACGACACGGGTGTGGCCCATCAGCACCTTGCCTCCATTCTCCATCACCAGCGCAGAGAGCTGCGCCTCAGCCTCAGAGTCAAAGCCCAACAGAAGGAAAGACTTCCGGAAAAAGATGCCCGCCTGGCTGCTTTCCTGCAGGACTGGCTCGTGCTCACGTTCGCTGGTGTTGTTGGGTGCCCAGAGCTCAGGCTGTGGCTCAGCAGCCGTACTGATGGACCTCCTGCTGTCACCCTCTGCTGCTGGTGGAGGCATACTGACTGCAAACAATCAAGACAAATGCCTTTTTATTTTAAACTTTTAATCAAAATCTTTTTAAGTAGATATGACCATTGGTCATAAGAGTTTTGTGGAAATTATTGCTATTATGTCAGACAACAAAGTTACGATTACCACAGCAGATTCTTACCTACTGTTACATCATCGTCCATGTACTGTGAGAGTAAATCCTCCTCGGCCCTCTTTAGAGCGGGAGTGCTGGGACTGGCAGCGGCCGGACCGGCTGATGGGCGGCTTTTCGGTGTGTGATGAGCTGGCACCGACACGGCAGATGAAGCAGGAGGAGGACAGTCTGAGTGGAAGTATTCTGCCTCTGGGAGCAAAGTGCCCTTAGAGAAGCTGTCCAGCAACCACTGCACTGTCACTACATAGGGCCTGGGAGGTGATACGGATGGAATAGATCAGTTGCATATAAATCATTACATACATGGTGTGACCACTGATTGTCCATTTTATCTCTGGAGATGTGATCAGACTGAAGACTAACTGATGTGTTTCTCATATAAATCATACCTATGAGTCGCCTTAGAGAGAAATTTCACAAGCTCCTGGTCCAGTTCTCCCATGACCACATGCGTGAGCTCCTCACTGGGCTGGTTAAAGCGCAGACCTCCAGCAGTGTTCACCAGACGCCGCAGCTTCTCTGCCTTCTTCATCGGAAACCCACATAAATACAGCTGCAAGACACCAAACACATGAAATAAAATGACGGAAATGGAAAGAGCACTTAAGAAAATACATTTTCCACCTGCATGTAAAGACGAGCACGGCGCAGGTATTTACAGTACCTTACATCCATCCAGTACATCATCAGCTGGGCACACAGTGAGGTCCAAACTATCTATGGGGTCTGGTGTCTCCAGTCGGCTGATAGTGGCATTAGTGAAAGTTGTGTCATTTACTGTCATGCTGGCACTGACGGAAATGTTGCTCAAACCCAACAAAGATGGGCCCTCTAAAAAAAATAAAATAAAAAGAATAAAAACAATCTCATTATGTGAATAGTAACACAAATTTTGACCTTTAACCTCTAAATGTGGTTAAACACACCTTCTTTCTTGCTGGTGCCCGTAGGGGTAGAAGTGTGTGGTCGTGTGGATTTTGATGCACTGCGCTCCACAGTGTACCTGCTCTCATCTTGGCAGAAGCCCTTCTCTATGCTGTCAAAGAGCCAGTGTAACGACACGCAGTACACGTTCCACTTTCGAGCACACTCGTACTTCTGACCTGCAACCAAATTCAGGCTGTCAAAACAACACTGGAACCAACCAAGTCGTCATAATCAATAAGACAGCTAAGGACAGTGATACATGATTCACAACTGGATGACTTTAGAGACTGACCTGTTGGTTCACTAACGATAAGGTGTGTGCACTCGTTCATTTTGAGCTGGCCGGTGTAGGCGGCTCCGTGCTGCTCACAGAGCCGCTGCACCTCTTTTCGGTCTGTGCTAGAGAGGCCTGTAACACACACAGTACAGCCACGCAGCACCGGGCAGAGATAGTCCTCCATGGGCAAGTCTGTGTACCTGAAAAGACTGCCCGAGGGAGGAAAGATACTTTTTAAATCAGCGCTGACAAAGCCATGATAATTCATATTATTAGTTGTAATAACTTGTGACTTTGAGCAGTTAAGTTCAGCAAAGCATTCTAAATGTATATTGTACTTTAAATCACACAGTTGCAATAGTCCTTTGCCTTGTTTTGAGTTGAATGGCAACGAGAACTTGTATGCAATTTAGATGTTGAAGTAAAAGTTGCACAGCATTAACATCAGTGACACAAGCATTGGGTTCTCTGAAGGGCATACCTATCCTGTGATTTCTCCCAGCAGGCTTTTACCCACGTGGGGAGAAGGATGGGTTTACCCAGACTGGCAGCCACAAGGTACTTTTTGCTGCCCACCTCTCCTGCAATCAGGTGTGTGACAGACACATTAAGATCGAGATAGACCCGTCCACCCATGAGTTGCACCAGATCCATCACCTCTGCCTGTAGAGTGAATCAAACATGAACACTTTAGTGTTTCTTGTAGGGGATGTCCTCTTCTGACAAAATACTATTAGAAATTACACTAAAATGACAAAAAGAGCAGTGCTCTTCGGATAATGGGAACTTACCCTTGTTGATTTGTCCAGGCTGGTGCAGGAGATAGTAATGTCAGCCATAGCCATGTTATACACAGGCTTCTCCGCCTTGGGAACACAACGCTGTTGCTGCAGGCAGTATAACACAACCAGGGGACTCACAACTCTACAGCCCAGCTGCATGACAAATAACAAAAATAAATACATTTATTCTTCAATAGTTTCAATGAGTCTTAGAATATATACATTTCAGATTTCACTGTAGGGGGATATCAAATAAAACCTTGTGGCAGTGCAGAAAGGCTGGAGTGGTGAAGTCGCTGAATACAAACAAAGACTTTTCCTTCTTTTCCATTTGTAAAACATCTTCCTCCTTGACGGTTTTCAAGTACTTTTCAGACTGCAGCTCCAATATTGACTGTTTAAGTAAAGCACATATACAATCAAATCTGTGATGAAATTTATAGACATGAAAGAAAAGGGAAAGACTGGGCAAACTGTGTGGTCTACCTCATATGCTTTAACAGTATACTCTGTTTTTGATCCTTTACTCTCCACAAACTTCACAATGAAGCCTTCCTTTTCTCCTTTGGACATTTTCAGCTTGTACCTGCATGAGAACAAATTAAATGACAGGAAACATGCTACATTTAATCTCTAAGACCGCAAGTAAAGTATCAGTGTTGACAAGCATATCAACAGAACTTTGAGTGGACTGGACGTAAAAAGTAAAGCCGCTCATATCAAGCTAACAACCATTTACAATTGAGTGAGCTAAAATGGGCTATTTACCTCCAACAGACTGATTCAGGCCATTCAATCTAAACCATTTTTCACACACTGAATAAGACACATACACTTACTCGTCACAAAGCAGCACTAATGACAGTGTTTTTTTCTAAAACACTTACCAGACAGCTTACCAGACAGCCCTAACTTCAGGGCGTCTGTGTAAGGTTGACCGCTTTGCTAACACAAAAACTGGGAAATAACTTACTTAGTATATTAAAATGCTTCCAAAGACACCAACACGCATAATACCAAAACAGAACAGCCACCAGTACGCGAGTATTATATGAACAAAAAAACATATACTTCTCATTTAATCGTAATGGCTAACTTAAAACCAAGATATTGTTGATACTCTTCGCGCCTTTGACGTAACTTCCGATGTGTTGCCAACTCCTCAGTAAGGAAAGTAGCTATTGGCTCTGCTAAAAGTCGCTAGAAGTCGCCAAATGACGTCATCGCCTAATTTGCATAATCTGCCACGTGACGTGATGTGCTGCAGGGGCGGAGCGGCACCGCGTGATCATTTCGGCCGTCAATCCCGGCGCATGCGCGCTTCATTTGCAGTCCGGACGCTGAGGGTAAACATGCTGTGGGTCCTCCCCACCCCCCTAATAAACCGGAGGGACTGGTTTTAACGCTGGACGGTCGCTCTTTAAGGAATAAAAAATACCAACGGGCTGCAAACTAAGAAGACCTTACGAGACGAGGACGAAGAAGTGTCTGGAAGCAGCTGTGGACGCGGAGCGGTTCTCTCTAAATGAGACGGAATGGACGGCGGCGGGGATAACGTGGCTCATGAATCTGGGCCTTTTTTTCCCCTCTTCCCGCAACCGCTTTCCCAATGTATTCTTTTGTTCTGAAGAAAAATTGGTGCGCCCTCCTGTGTGGCTGCCCTCAGTCTTCCCGAACTGGTGTGTCTATGTGTTTTGTTTGTTTGATCTTGGTACGGGCTGTACTGGAAGTCAATTTCTCCCTGGAGATCAATAAAGTATATTCAATTCAATTCAATTCAATTCAATCTGCGGGTAGCTACACAATTCTCCTGTTTGTCTTTAGCTGAGGACGCATGCTTAAAACATAAAGCTAGCAGCTGCCTTAGCTTCTAACGCGGTATTACACTATAATAAAGTTTACTTTGGCCGTCTCTAGAAAAACGTGAAAGTGGGGCTCCACCATCTTTTGATTTCTGGGGTTTTACTTGCGCGGGAACGATGAAAATTAATCCCGTCCTCGAACTAAACGAGTTCGATATAAAACAAGAAAGCAAAAACGCCTCTCGTTCAGTTAATTATTTAGCAAAATTCAGGAGTCTGGAGCAGGAGTGTGTTTACACAATGTCAAGGAGGAAAGACATCAGCCATAACCTAAGAGTCATCTGGATTCCACCACCCCTTAGAGAGAGAGTTTATTCACAGGTGAAGACATTCAGGATGGCTGCCAGTTTGTCCAACAAGGTCACCCCTAGCTCATCCATCCCAGATGATCCGAGCAGGTTCTGCAGCACCAGGACCTTAAAGTCCACCAGGAACCCCCCAGGAACCCAAAGTGTTCAGAGTCAGACGGGAGGCCGTCTGTCCCACAGCTGAAGCTGGAGCCAGCCCCCCAACAGGACTGAGATCCAAACCCGGCAGCAGAGCCGTGCAGGAACCTCCATGAGCTGAATAGCTACAGGCAGCAGAGAGGGACAAAAGTCCTCCACAGCCATCGCAGAGACTGAGAGACCACCAGAAACCAGTTTCTAAACTGGCTGCTTTGGGTCTGCTCTCAGTTTTTGTTCCATAAATAAACCAGACAGTGTCTTCTGTCACATGATCCTGTTGTCTCTTTAGGTTCCCTCAAATTTAGAACCTGACAGGATCCAAATGAGGAGGGAAAAGGAAATGTGTCCATTTCAGGAGCATAGTTTGATGACATCGTTGTGGTTGAACTGATGGTTTTTATGTACAGCTGTCGATGGCTCAGCTGGTCCACAGATTTCTTCCTCACTAAACTTTGTCTTCTAGGAAAGGACAGGTCCAGACGATGGATTACTCGGGGGACCTCGTGAAAGTGACCTCATCAAACGGGTCGCAGTGGACGGCCCAGAAGGTAGAGGCTCTGAAACCGGCCCACTGGGTTACAGGACCAAAGGCTCTGGGTTCAGGTTGATCTCTAAAGCAGCAGATGACAAAAGATTTCACCTCTGATCCTGATCCGGTTCAGTTAAGCCGTCAGGATCCAGGTATTCCAAATGGGTCCAGCTCGTTCATAACCAAGGACACCAGCAGAACCAGGAAGAGATCTCCATCAGGACCAGAACCAGGAACAAACCTCCATCAGAACCAGAAGAAACCTCCATCAGAACTAGGGAAAAAGTTAATCAGAACCAAAACCAGGACAGGATGATATGGGGGACAGAAATACGTTTGATTCAGAGGGCAGGTTCTGTTCAGGGATCCAATCCTCATCGGGCTGCTTTCTCTTCCAGGTTCTGGTCACCGTCCCGCTGACCCTGCTCCAGAGGGGCCTCCTCCACTTCCACCCCCCCCTTCCTGAGAGGAAGCTGAAGGCCATCCACAGCTTGGGAGCCGGCATCATCGAAAAGGTACCTCCCATCCCCGCCGGCCCGCCTCCAGAGGCTGTCGGTGCCCAGCAGCTAAACCTCAGTCCGAACGTCCCGCAGATCGCTCTGCAGTTCCTGACCCGGTTCTGGGACTCCAAGATCCAGGGAGCCGACTACTTTGGTCACATCCCGCCGGCACCGGAAAAGTGAGGCCTGTTCAGCGTCTTCTACGACCTGGACCCTCAGGTGTGTTTTTAAAGCCATGACCAAGGAGGAGCCGACTGGTTCTGGATCAGAGGGTCGGCTCCTCCCCCTCAGGGTCACTGAGGCATCATGGGAGTCTGAGTATCTGCTCCAGATGTGTGTGTTTAGACTGGGAGGAGAATGAAGGACCCAGTCCTGTGAGGTTCTGGGTATCCGATCCCTGAAACCAAGCTCAGACCCTTTGAGGCCCTGGCTGATGTAACTGTGTCCAACAGGGGAAGCAGGCGGTGTTGATGTCGGTCATCTCTGGCGACGCCGTTCCTGCTGTCTGCGAGCTGGAGGACCAGGAGGTGGTGGGAGAGTGCCTGAAGGTCCTGAGGGAGCTTTTCCCCGAGCAGGTGAGCACCGGTCAGGGGTCCGGTCGGCCACAGCATAGAGGGTCAAGGGTCAGCTGAGACTACCAGGGGAGCAACTAGCTACATGCTGAGGGGTATGCAGACTCATTATTATCCTTGTTGGAGATCTGATTGGACGCTGCATAAACTCAGTTAAGACATCTAAACTCAAGTGTATCATTCCCCAGTTGAACCATCTCCCTGCTTAAGATGCTGCCCCCCAACCCGACCACAGATAAGCGATGGATGATGGAAGGGTAGAAAACTAAAGGGTTATTAACCCTTTCCTGGCCCCACAGCCCCGACCTCTGCTTGTATCTCCATTCATCCCTGTGGAGGGATCACCCTCAGCCCTCCCTGTGATCATCGGCTCTTTGGGCCACTTCTCTCATATTTATCAGCATCAGAACCATTAACTATGCAGCTTAAAACACACCTGATTTCTTAGAGGTCAGAACCAAACCAGGAGAGGCTTCATTTCAGTTTGATGCTCCTCAAATCTGAATCGGTCTTCTTGAAGAGGTGAAACAGGGTTACTACAGCTGAATTCTTTTTAGCCTTTAATCTATTTATTTTATTTGGTTAAACTTATTTTTATTTGTTTTCTTTATCTTCATTGTCTGCTTTTAAAATGTAAGGTACTTTGAGTTGTCGTGGACACAAAACTCAAACTGTAACATAAACCTGTCTCACCTCATTTTGGATGGGATTTCCCCTCCGCTTGTGGATTAAAGGTCCTCTTCCTCCCACAGGACGTCCCAGACCCTGTGAACTACTTTGTGACCCACTGGAGCAAAGACAGGTGGTCTCAGATGTCCTACAGCTTTGTGAAGACGGGCGGCAGCGGGGAGGCCTACGACGTGCTGGCCGAGGACGTGCAGGGAAAGCTGTTCTTCGCCGGAGAGGTAACTCTCCTGCCTCCTCCTGAGCCGCCCAACGCCGCCATTTGGCAGCTCGTTTTCACGCTTTGCTTCACACACACCTGAACCAGCACAAACCCAGAGATTCAACCGGCAGCAGTAAGAATCCTAAAACCAGGCACCAATCGGGTGCTGAAATTAAAACCAGATCAAACGCAACATCTGGCAAAAGTTTGAATTACTCCAAAATGTCACAGCTCCTGTAATACACAGAGAAGGAAGATGATTACTAAATGGAGTAGAATTGGATTCAAGCTGAAGCCCAAAGGCAACAGAAACTTGGTGTTTTTGCTGTGTACAACAAGCTGGCCAGAGGGGCTGAATTCCTGTTTTCTGTTCCGGCCAATCAGGGAGTAGAGCTCTCTTCTTTGGGCTTTTTTCCTCTGGTCAGGATTAACTGACTTTCAGACAATCGACGATCTCTGACCCCTCGACTGACCCCTCCCCTTAAGAAGTTTCAGGATGAGAACAGAGATTTCTTTTAGCTCCAAGAAGTCCATCTGCCTGCCCAACCCAAACTACCTCAACCAGTTGGTGACAAAAGAAATGAGAAAATAAAATGAACTCTGCGGGCTGAATATTGTCACTTAAACTCAGTGAGGACAGGAAACGGATCACCAGCTCACCGAGTCCGCTGACTGTTTCAGGATTCAGGCTTCAAGAAGCATCAGGATGTGAGGAGAAAAGTCTCACAAGAAGAAGAAGTCCAGCTGGCTGTGTTTAGGCTCTGAGCATCAGTAACCCAGCTAATGCTCAACATGTGACTGTGTTTGATTCCACTGGTTTTAAACCAGGTTTAACCTTTCATTATTTGTCATTTCTTTTCCCACCAGGCCACCAACCGACACTTCCCTCAGACCGTGACGGGGGCCTACCTCAGCGGGGTCCGAGAGGCCAGAAAAATGGCTGCTGTGTAAGCCGGCGGCCTCGCAGCCCTTGGACTCCGGCACCGCCAGACGGATGGCCGACACGGCCGGCGTGGAGCTGAGCGCCTTGGAGCTGAGTGGCGGCATACCTCTGCATCAGGGTCCAGCAGGGCTCTCTGCACCTGCTTTCACACACTTAGCACAACAGCAGGGGAGCTGCTCTATATTTATATCAAATCCCATCAGGGAAAGTGCTTTTTTTTAAATCGAAAACCACCTCAAAGTGCAGCTCTGTCGGATTTTTGGGAAGCAGGACGCTGTTTTTACTCCACTTCAGATCACAGTCAGCACAGAATTAATTTGCTTTGATTTGCTTAAAACTTTAGGAAAACTAGCTCTTTAATCAGGAATACCTAAATAACTTTAATATCCTGGGATTATGGTCGTGTGATCGGGTCTAAAATATCGTTAAACACGGTGTAGTGAGGTAGATTTATTCTTTCTGTGGTTTAGACGGTTAGACTTAGATATGGAGAACTTGTTTCATGTCGGTGGATTTTTCGAAACGTTTAAAGGAGGAATTCGATCAGGACACATCAGCCGTCCCATTTCTTTCTCAGGGATGTTATCA